AGAGGGAGAGGACCAGATGAGATGGCCCAATCTCCGCCTTTGGTGGATAATGGAGAGGGAGAGAAGAGGGAAGATGTTAAAAAAAAGGGCAGGGAGTTTCAGAAAAACATCTACTTCTGCTTCATTGACTATTCTAAAGCCTTTGACTGTGTGGATCATAATAAATTGTGTCAATTTCTTGGTGGGATGGGCATACCAAGCCACCTTGTCTCTCTCCTGAGGAATCTGTACAAGGACCAAGTAGCAACAGTAAGAACTGACCATGGAACAACAGACTGGTTCAAGATTGGGAAAGGCGTACGGCAAGGCTGCATACTCTCACCCAACCTTTTTAACTTGTATGCAGAACACATCATGCGAGGATGTGCGGGGCTTGATGAATGCAAAGCTGGGGTGAAAATTGCTGGAAGAAACATTAACAACCTCAGATATGCAGATGACACCACTCTGATGGCCGAAAGCGAGGAGGAGCAGGAGGAGATGGAGATGGAGGAGGTGGAGAAGGAGGGGAAGGAGGAGGAAGGAGGAGGAGGGAGGAGGAGGAGAAGGAAGGAGGGGGAAGAGGAAGGAGGAGGAGGAAGAGGAAGGAGGAGGAGGAGGAGGAAGAGAGAGGAGGAGGAGGAAGAGAGAGGAGGAGGAGGAAGAGAGAGGAGGAGGAGGAAGAGGAAGGAGGAAGAGGAAGAGGAAAGAGGAAGAGGAAGGAGGAAAGGGAAAAGGAGGAGGAGGAAGATAAGGAGGAGAAGGAAAAGATGAGGGAGAAGGAAGAGAGAGAAAGAAAAGAAGAATAAAATGGGAAAGGTGAAGAAGGAGCACAAAGAAAAAGAAAGCCGGGTGGGTGTTTGTTTTTGGTTGCAGGTGTGGGTTGGGTTTTTGGTTGCAGCTAAACGTCAAAAAAAAAAAAAAAAAAAAAAAAACCAAAATTATTTAGAAATCATATGATTGACAACTGGAAAAAATAGAGGGAGAAACCGTGGACGGTGAGGCGATGGCCGTTTTTTTTCCCGTTTTCGTTTTTCCGCGTGGACAGACTTGCATTTGACACAGCCAGACTCAGACTTTGTATTCTAGGTGCAAAGATTACTGCAGAAGCAGACTGTGGCCAGGAAATCGGAAGACGCTTACTTCTTGGGAGGAGAGCAATGTCGATGCAGACTGGAGCCAGGAAATCAGAAGACGCTTACTTCTTGGGAGGAGAGCAATGTCCAGTCTCGATAAAATAGTGAAGAGTAGAGACATCAGACTTGCAACAAAGATCCGCCTAGTCAAGGCCATGGTATTCCCTGTAGTAACCTACGGATGTGAGAGCTGGACCTTAGGGAAGGCTGAGCAAAGGAAGATCGAATTGATTTAGAAAAAAGAAAAAATAGATCGAGCTTTGTTTCTTTTGAGCTTGTGTGTTTTGTTGGAAGGAAAGTTCTGGAGAGTCGCCTTGGACTGCGAGGAGAAAAATGGGACAGAGTAGGATGGAACGATCCAAGGAAAGCAAGAAGACCTTCAGAGAAGATCCAAACCAAAGTCCATCCTCCCAGGGAAAATAAAGCCCCACCCCCGCCCGACCCCCGACTGCTGCCCCCGACTGCTCACTGGAGGGGAAAGATGAAAAAGGGAAAAAAAAGGTATAGTAGAGGACAAAGTTTTTGAAGTACTTTGGCACATCATGAGAAAAAGAAGAGGAGGGACAGGGAAAGAAGGTGGCAAGAATGATGGAAGGAAAAAAGAGAAAGGGAAAAGGGGATATGGTTAAAGCCATTCCATGAGGCAAGAGAATTTTAGAGGGAAGACAAGTGATGCTGGGGAAAGTGGGGAAAGGCAAAAAGGAAAAGAGGAGATGGAACGACCATAGGCTAATAGATCCTCATGAAAAATACCGCATGTTTTAAATAAGTAAGAGGGGCACGACAAGGGCAAGACTGGCAAGCCCAAAGTAAGATGGATGGAGGATGCGACATCCTTGAAAGTAGTCGAACGGGGACCTCGACCAAGGGCAAGATGGATGGATGGCATCCTTGAAGTGACTGGACTGACCTTGAGCGAGCTGGGGGTGGTAACGGCCGACAGGGAGCTCTGGCGTGGGCTGGTCCATGAGGTCACGAAGAGTCGGAGACGACTGAACGAATGAACAACAAGCATTTTGCAAAACCAGTTGCTCTCATTGAAACTGTGTAGTAATGATGAGGTCATAGACCATATTTTAGTTCTTGGGGACCACTGGTGGTCCATGGACCACAGGTTGGGAACCACTGCCCTAGAGGGCGCAGGGATCTTTCTGAATATTTTTTTTAAAATTAAACAATATTTGGGGAGGTGGGAGTGTGACCCTTCAATATCCTGTGAGAAGTTTATGTGTCTCTCATGCCACAGATAATGCTCACCTTGGCTCATGAGGAGAAAACTTGCTACTTTTTTATTTTAAATTTGAATTATTACATTTGGCCCGGCTATAGGTTTTTAAATGCTGTATGTTGTGATATGTTATTATTATTGCTTATTGTGTGTTTTCTGTTTTGAGTTTATTTTAACTGTTTTGTATTGATTATTGTTATTGCTTTTATTAATGTGCTGTGGGTTTGGCCTCATGTAAGCCGCACCGAGACCCTTGGGGAGATGGTAGTGGGGTACAAATAAAGTTTTATTTTTATTATTATTACTTGCTGGTAGATCTTAAAATGCTTGAAATCAGCAAAGCTTATTTTTTTAGTTATACATTTCTACTTTTAACGTTTCCTTTTTAGTTTCCTCTTTAGCCTCTGGATTTGCAGGTCCTTCATCAGATCAGACGTCTCTTCCATTCTAGACAATATAATTCTCCACTTTAACTGCCACAGACAATTATGGCATTCCACTTTAGTTGCTCTATTGAATAAAGGAATGGGATCTGTAGTTTTGTGAGCCATTTAAAATATATAGGGCTGGGCTTTAGCACAGCTGGTTAATCACTAGCAGCAACAGATCTTTCCCAACTGAAAGGTTGGCAGTTTGAGCCTGGGTTGGGGTGAGCACTCGACCTTTAGCCTAGCTTACTGTTAACCTAAGCAGTTCGAAAACAGTTGTGAGCTGTGAGTAGAGAAATTAGGCACTGCTTAAGTGGGGAGGTATTTTATGGCACCATAAAAAAGCCAGAAGGGCAAAGGCTCTTTATCATAAAGGATGGAGTGATAGCACCCCCTTGTGGCCAGAATTGAGCATAACCTCCAGGACGCCGAAGTTGGAAAAATGTCTCTCTCTCCTGTCTGTCCTGCATTGAAGGTTTGCTGTGTATGTGTTCTGTGATCTGCCTCAAGTCCCCTTCGGGGCGAGAATGGTGGAATATAAATGCTGAAAATAAATAAATAAAATTCTCAGACAGAGAGCTCTAATACCTCACTAAACTACTAAAGTCCCAGAATTCTGTAGAATGTAGCCATGGCGGTTTTAAAGATATCTACTCTATATACCTGTCTAGAAGTCAACCTCATGTACTGTATAAGTTGAGTGCAAGTTTTGGGGCCAAAGTTATGGGTTTTGTTTTGACTCGTGGATAAAACTTTGGGGCGTTTAACTGTATTCCAACAGATCGGGAAAGTTCCAGGTTGGGGAAGGCTGTTGTTGGCCATGGGGATGTCAAAGGGGTGGGAGACAACACATTCCCCAGATCACACCACTTACATGGTAAGGTTTCTGCTCGGTTCTTTTGGATCATTATGCAGAGCTGTAGCACCAATTGAGGGGCGCTCTCGAGGAAAGTCTCCAGGAGGCGCAGCATGTTGACGTCTGCATACTCGTACATCATAGCCCAATAAAAGCGCCGCTGGTGTTCCTTTTGTCTCTGGCTTTGGATCCCCAGGTACATTGTTCGGATATACCTGCAGGCAAGGAAGAAACATCAGGCAGCTGTGAGCGGATAGCCGGACCAGGTTGCAAAGGACATTCATTCATTCATAGACACATCAAAGAGCAGTCAAGGTGTGATTAACGAAGAACATCTAGCCTAGGAGAGGTGCTGCAGTTTGCTTTTGCCTGAGCCCATTGGGGAGGCAGATTCTGCCCTCTTTTTCTGGTTTCTCCCTGCTGTTAATTGTTTTTGTTTTGCACTCACGGCCCTTCCACACAGGCCACAAACCTAGTTCAAAGCAGATATTGCAGATTATTGTGGATTATCTACCTTCATATTCTGGGTTATATGGTTGTGTGGAAGGGCCTAAAATGGACTCTCCCCAGCTCAAGTGTTTACATGAAAAATACAGTGAGACTCCCATATACAAGGAGGACACATTCCCAGGAAGACTGGATATGTAAAACTGCAGGTATGACCAAACATCATTAAATTACCTTACTCCCAGCATACAACAACAACAACATCCTCATCTGCTGCAAGAAGATCACACAGACAGACTACAAGCAGAGGCATAACACCATTGTTCAGAAGATTAATTGGAACCTGTGCCGCAAATACCATCTGCCTGAGACAAAGAACTGGTGGGATCACAAGCTGGAAAATATTACAGAGAATGAACACATCAAGCTATTCTGGGACTTCCAAATTCAGACTGACAGAGTTTTGGAGCACAATACTCCTGACCTCACGATCATGAAAAAAAACCAAGTATGGATAGTCGATGTTGCAATCCCAGGCGACAGCAGGATTGAAGAGAAACAATTGGAAATGCTGACACAATATGAGGATTTCAAGATCGAACTGCAAAGGCTCTGGAACAAGCCAGTCAAGGTGGTCCCAGTGGTGATCGGCACACTGGGTGCAGTGCCAAAAGACCTTGGCCTGCACTTAAACACAATAGGCGCTGACAAAATTACGATCTGTCAGCTACAAAAGGCCACCCTTCTGGGATCACACATCACACAGTCCTAGGCACTTGGGAAGTGTCCGGTGTGAGACCCAATACAACAGTCAATACATCTTGTTTGCTGTGTAGATCTTGTTTGCTGTGTACTAATCTTGTTATGTTTCAAATAATAATAATTTATTTATAGACTGCCTTCTCTCCTCAAGGTGCATTGGTGGACTTATAGCAGTGGTTCCCAACCTTTTTTTTTTTTTTACCAGGGACCACTTTGACCAGGGACCACTCTCCAACATTAGTACCAAAAGGGGCAGGACTGGTCAGTTCTGCAGAAAGGAGCAGAAATAAAATAAACAAATAAAGACGAAGGAGGTTCGTGGACCGGATTTTCGTTCTCACGGCCCACTGTTGGACCATGGCCTACAGGTTGAGAATCACCGATTTATAGATTCTTGGAGATGTATCCTTTCTAGGAGGTTGCTAGGTTATCCAATGGTAACTTCTGGGATATTTTATTTATTTATTTACATCACTTTTATCCCGCCCATATCAGCCCAAAGGCGACTCAGGGCGGAGTACAAATCGGCACAATTAGATGCCATATAAAAATACCTACATCGGTTAAAAGCAAAAAAATCACATTATAATACATTTAAAAACCGTAAAAGCAATAACAATAAAAATTATAAAAACTATGTCTTCTTGTTCAAATCCTCAAGTGTTCCATCATCTTAGCTGTTCCTAGTTCATATTCCAATTTGAGTTTATCTGGTCATGCTGAAGTTCCAAATGCTTGCTCAAAGTCCCAGGTTTTCACTCTTTTTCAAAGTATATCATAAAACTGCCCTAGTTCACGTTTTCTTAAACCTTTTTCACTCATGGCTTCTTTCCACTTGACAATTTTTACCTTACCCCAGGTATATAAGTAAATAAAATAGATACAACAACCAAACATTTACTGATAATAAATCAGCATTTGCAAGGCTTGCAAAACAGGCTGATTTCTCTTTTTGTGGCGTATAGCTGAAGCACTTTCTGCAGACTCTTCTGTAAACACTGCATGTTGGAGCTAACAGAATTGTTTAAATAGGTGGTGTTAAGAAACTTTTTACTGTTGCCACATTTTTGTGACCTCAACATTGAGTTAAGGAGACCTCATTTGGGGTGGAGAGTGAAAAAAGTTTGAAATGTGGTATGTTCTACACTTCCAAACAGACAAATCAATGGGTCCTAAAGCAAATCAAACCCATCCTCTTCTTAGAAGCCAAGAGGACTAAACTGATGCTATCATACTTTGGACACATCATGAGATGATTTGACTCACAGGAAAAGATGATAATGCTAAGTAAAATGGAAGATAGTAGGACACGAGGATATTACAGATTGCTTGATAAGAAAGCATGGTCCTTCCTTTCCAAGACCTGAGTAGGGCTGCTGATTGACAGGGTATCTTTGAGGTCCAACTTGGCAGTGTGCACAGGGGCGGCTCATCCATTACGCAAAGTAAGTGGTTGCGGTACATTTTTTTTGCCAGGGGTGCAGAGGCGCCTCTGTAAATGCCCCCTCGACCGCCACTTGAGGAGTGCCCCTCGGCTCACAACAACCCTAGCAGTTTGGGGGGAGCCTCGGCTTCCTTGCCTCGCTGCCGGGCGATCCTCTTCCCGAAGGGGCCAGGCCCTTGAGCCTTGCCTAGCCCCTTCTTATTCCTGCTCCACCTGGCTGCCGGGTGTGCGTGCAGAGCCAGAGCTCAATCGTTCTCTGCGTTTGATCACTTTCCCATGACCAGCTCCCTTTCCTGAGCCCCCGGCGCTTCACCCACCTTGCGCTCCTCTCCTCAATCCGCGGGTGGACCAAGGGGCGGAGCCGGCGTGCCGCACTTGCTTCCTTGCCTGGCCCGCTTCGGGTCCGGAGGCGTGCCTGAAGACCCCGGTGTGTGCACCAAAAGTCGCCTCTTCTTCTGACTTTCTCCTCAGCCATTGGGACCAAGAGAGAGAGAGAGAGTGCGAGCGCCCCTCCAGAGATGCCCACCTTTCCTGAAGGTAGGCACAAAAACAAAGGAGGGAGCGGAGGTGGGAGATACCTCCAGCCAGAGGGTCTCTCTCTCTCTCTTGGAACAACCAAGTTTTCAAGCTCTTCCTAAAAACTGCCAAGGTGGGGGCTTGCCTATGTTCTCTGGGGAGCGGATTCCAAAGTCGAGGGGCCACCACAGAGAAGGCCCTCTCCCTCGTCCCCACAAGTCGCACTTGTGACTTGTCCCCTTGGTATGTCTACTTTCTTGGGTTTGTGTTTTCATCCATGAAGTACTGGATAGCAGGTTTCAGAAATAGAGATTTAGGTGATAAGGGGAAAAGTATCTGAGTCTGGTAATGACTCAGATCTGCCACAAGGTGGTGGTCTGATCTAATGATAGCAAAGTATGAAAACAGAAAGATCTGCCTGTTCCATTTCTCTTTCAAGCCATACCATATTTTGGAGGCACTGGATTACTTCATTCAAGTTGTAGTGGGTGCCTCTGTGCCTATTACTCTGATGTGCATTTTTGGTGCCTCTTTGTTTACTATATCTCTATCTATCTCTATCTCTATCTTTATATATCTCACTCCCTGCTTCTGTTGCAGATAAGACATCAGGTTTTTTTGAAATGAATTGTACAGTCAACCCTTCACGTTCGTTGCAGTTAGGGACACAGGACCCTAGTGAAAGTGAACAACTGCAGGAAATGGGATTCTACCTAAACAATAGGAAGAAATTATGATGGTTGCAGCTGTTTGATGGTGGAATATACCATTGTCTGGGAGTGTGGTGGAATCCCTTCCTCTGGAAGAATCTGGATGGACATCTGTTGGGAGTGCTTTCATAGTGTGTTCCTGTTGGAAATAGCAACCTTCTACAAGCCTCCTATACTAATTATTTGTTATGTATATAATCCAGATTGCTGACTATATTGTATATGTGTGTGTTGGTATGCAGTTTCCCCTTAACTCTGTGTTATCTGAGTCTGTGGGTGGGACTGCAGACCATGCGATCAGATCTGGGACTATTCAGACTGAAACTCCATTTTAGAAGTCAGTGTTGTATTGTCCGTGTTTAGAGTGTGTTCAGTTATGTACTTGAGTTCTATATTGTATGCAACAGAGAAGAGATTGCAATAGAATGCCTTAGAGCAGTGTTTCTTAACCTGGGGGTCGGGACCACCAGAGGGGTCATGAGGGGGTGTCAGAGGGGTTGCCAAAGACCATCAGAAAACATAGTATTTTCTGTTGGTCATGGGGGTTCTGTGTGGGATGTTTGGCCCAATTCTATCATTGGTGAGATTCAGAATGCTCTTTGATTGTAGGTGAACTATACATCCCAGCTCTGGCACTCTCTCCCATTGGAGATTAGAACTGCCCCTTCCCTCCTGACCTTTAGAAAGTTGGTGAAAACCTGGCTTTTGGAATCTGGCATTTGATGAGTGAGGCAATGACTTTTGACCACACAGACGGATGGGGATGAATAGTGATTTTTATGCTAACGACTTGGCTTTATATAATTATATGATAGTACTTTAATGTGTTTATATTAGTGTATTATTGATGTGATGTTTTTAAACTATTGTGTATGAGCCCCTTTGTTGTAAACCGGCCTGAGTCCCTCGTTGGAAGTGAGAAGACCGGTATATAAAAGTTCTAAAATAAATTAATTAATAAAGAAACTACAACTCCTAAATGTCACGGTCTATTTTCCCCAAACCCCACCAGTGTTTGCATTTGGGCATATTGAGTATTTGTGCCAAGTTTGGTCCAGATCCATTTTTGTTTGGGTCCACAATGCTCTCTGGATGTTGGTGAACTACAACTCCAAAACTCAAGGTCAATGCCCACCAAACCCTTCCAGCATTTTCTGTTGGTCATGGGAGTTCTGTGTGCCAAGTTTGGTTCAATTCCATCGTTAGTGGAGTTCAGAATGCTCTTTGATTGTAGGTGAACTATAAATCCCAGCAACTACAACTCCCAAATGACAAAATTAACTTTCCTCTCCTAATCCCACAAGTATTCAAATTTGGGTGTATCAAGTATTTGTGC